TATGTTAATTAACTTGGCTATGGTAATCATTTCACAATGTATATGTATATCAAATTATCACACTGTACTATTTAAATATATACAATTTTATTTGTCAATTATACCTTAATAAAGCTGTAAAAACTCTGTTAACCGAAAAAAAATACACCAGACACCAAAAGCACAGGCAATAAAAGTAAAAATAGAGAGGGTAAACCTCATAAATGTTCTTACTACGATAAAATTAAAGAAATAAAATAAAGTGCATCTTTTGTTATAAAAAAAAGCAAAACTAGATAAATTGTACTACATCAAAATTAAAAACTTCTGTGCATTGAAGGACACAATCAACAGAGTGAAAAGGCAACCCATGGAATGGGAGAAAATATTTGCAAATTATATTATCTGATAAGGGTAATATACAGACTATATAAAGAACTCCTACAACTCAACAACAAAAATAACCCGAATTTTAAAAAGTCAAGGACTTGTATAGACATTTCTTCAAAGATGGTATATAAAAGGCCAACAAGCATATGGAAAAATGTTCAATGTCACTAATCATTAGGGAAATGCAAATCAAAACCACAATGAGATAATCACTTCATACCCAGTAGGATGGCCACTATCAAAAAAGCAGAAAATAACAAGTGTTGACGATGATGTGGAGAAATTGGAACGTTCATGTACTGTTGGTGGGAATGTAAAATGGTGCACCTGCTATGGAAAACAGTATGGTGGTTCCTCAAAAATTAAAAATAGAATTATCATATGACCCAGAAATTTCACTTCTGGGTATATATCCAAAAGAAGTGAAAGCAGGGACTCGAATATATATTTTTGTTTTCTTTTTCACTGCTGGCCTGGAGAACATATATTTGTACACCCATGTTCATAGCGGTATTATTCGCAGTAGCCAAGAGTAGAAGCAACCCAGCTGTCCCTCGACAGATGAGTGGATAAACAAAATGTGGTATATACACACAACAGAATATTACTCAGCCTTAAAAGTGAAGGAAACTGACACATGCTACAACATGGATGAACCTTGAGGATATTATGCTAAGTGAAATAAGTCAGTAACAAAAAGACACTGTATGATTCCACTTATATGAGGTACCTAGAGTAGTCAAATTCATATTGACAGAAAGTAGAATGGTGGTTGCCAGGGAGTAAGAGGAGGCGGAAATGGGAAATTGTTGTTTAATGGGTATAGAGTTTCAGTTCTGCAAGACAAACTTAACACTACTGAACTGTATGTACACTTTCCCTGCTACAACATGGATGAACCTTGAAAAGATTATGCTAAGTAAAAGCAGCCAGTCTGTTTATATGAAATGTCCAAGGGCTGGCTGATTAGCTCAGCTGGTTAGAGCATGGTGCTGACAACACCAGGGCCCAGTTCCATCCGTGTACCAGCCAGCTGCCAAAAAAAAAAAAAAAAAAAAAAAAAAAAAAAAAATTCCAATGTCCAGAAGAGGGAAATCCATAGATACTGAAAATAGATTAGTGGTTGCCAAGGACTAGAGGGAGGGAAGAATGGGAGATGACTACTAATGGATACTGGTTTCTTTTTGGGATGATGAAACATTCTGAAATTAGTAGTGATGGTTGTACAATTCTGTGACTATACTAAAAACCACTGAAATGTACAATTTGAGAGGGTGAATTTTGTGGTATGTGAGTTACATCTCAATAAGAAAACCCCAAGTGACTACTGGAAAAAAAATATAGTAGCTCCCTACCATAGAACAATGTCATACAAAGTATAAAGTACTCTCCTTAGATCACTGCCATGTAGACATAAGCCAGAATAAAATAACTAGAATTGACCAGAAGACATCACAAAGCAATCATGGAAGAAACAAGATTTTGGAAATCCAACTGAAAGCAGAATCAGATTAGCTTCATAACTGTAATACATTCGAGAAGGAACAGATAAACCAGACCAAATCAGAGGGAAATTGTGGAAGATAGGCTAAAAAAACAGAAGTTAGGCTAGAGTATGGAGGACCCTGACTACCAGGCTAAGGAGTTTGGGTTTTTTATGCCTGTACAACTGTTAACTTAAATCACTATTTTCAAAGAGATTAATTTCATGGCTCTGATCTCTGGATGTTCAGAAAAGAAAAAAAAGATTAATTTCATGGCAATATAAGACTGAATTATACAGAAATGGAAAAAATGCAAAATCCTGTAAGTTTAGGAGCAGTGGTTGTCTAATCATTAGGTGATGAGGAGATAAAGTGTGAAAGTGAACAAGATATTAAAAAACAATACACTGATAAGATTCATTACTTGTTTTAAATGTAAGGGATAGAAATGAAAGGAAAAAACTAAACACAACTCAGATTTCCAGGCTAAGTAACTACAAAATCATTGCTATCTATCTACTGGAATAAAAAAGTTGGAGTGGAGAAATGGCTGGTTTGGGGGAATTCATAAAAGCTGGATACACAGTGGCAATCCTTCAACTTTTACTGGCATATTCCATGACAAAGATTTAATTTTTACCAACTTTTAAGTAATACTGAAAAAACTGAACAAAAAGATGCACCATTCACTTATGACTGCAAAGCCAAAAGAAAAGTGGCAAATGGCCATTTGACATTCTCTGGCTACATGTTGCAAGAAATTAAGGCAGAAATTTGTCTTTCCTATAGACTGGACCCTCCTGGATACAAAGAAGCAGATTATCAAGTTTGATGTTTTAATTTTATACAACTTTGTGAGAATGTTAAACAGTATTCTAACTGGGAATTGTTGGCTTAAAGGATTTGAATTAAATAATTAAGTAAATGTTGGTCCTTGAAGATGATGAGAAGTAAATATTTAAAACTTGTCATACAAGTTTAAAGAGTCATTTATCACTACTGCCACTGAAACTAAATAGTCAAAACAGCAGTTCTAATCCAGGGCAAAAAATTTGTCACAGTAGGAGAAAACAGGTTTCATTCAGTTGACCAAACTAGAGAAATAACAGGTTAGGCTGACCTATTAGCTCAGTTGGTTAGAGCACGATGCTGTAACACCAAGGGCAAGGGTTCAGATCCCCATACAGGCCAGCAGCCAAAAACAAAACAAAAAAGAGGTTAATACCCAAGGGCTGTGAAAGGTCACATGTCTATTTATATGCTTGCAGTAGCTTATCAATGTGTAAAACTCTTTAATTGTTGCACATTCTATCACCCATGATTTTGAAAATGCTACCTAGGAAGGCACTGTGAACACACCACCAAGTGGATAGTCTTAAACATATAAAGGACAAAGAAACTCCCCTCCTAGTTCAGTTACAAGGACTCACCTTTATTGTCAAGGAATACATAACCATCAAAGCGATCCCTGAACAAAATAATGTCCTCTTGGTTTTTAAAGTTGATGTATGCTCTGGCATACATATGAGGGTACAGACTGCAGAGAGGAAAGCAATTATGTAAATGTGCTAGCAGGCGTCTGGCTGAATTACAAGTACGAACATATTAAAGAGACAGGCTAAAAATCAATGGAAAACAGTATGATTAAAAAGAATGGAAATAACCTTTTTCATTTACCCCCTCCCTTTTTTTTGTTTTTCATTCTTTTTTCTTTCTTTCTTTTTTTTTTTTTTTTTTACCTAGTATCATTAGAAAAAAACTCAAAATAATCATGATCAGGCATAGGCTGAAGATGTTCCTGAAGCTGCTCCTTGGTCAAAGTGGGAGGTAATCTTCGAATTACCACCTTAAGAAATGAATAAGGAAAATAAAATTAGTACAAATCAATTTTCTGTCATACCTGAAAGAACCACAGTTCCTGAAGAAAGCTGGGCTTTAAAATATGAGATTACTTAAAACCCAGGAGAAAATATTCTTCTGCAGCCCAGTGCTCACTATTAGTCAAACATAACAGTAACGCGGTTTTTAAAAACTCTTGGAAATGAGAACCGCCTGGTGTAAAGAAAGTCTCAGGTTCTACTTTAACCCGCAGTTTACCAAGTTTGCGCATCATTTTCTATCACCCATTTTTCAATAGATCTAGTGGCACTAAATTAGTAGGCCAACCCTGGTATTTTGTGGGTGCCACGAAATCTTGATTTGGTAATATATCATCTCCACGTCCAACACACCCTAGAACAAAATCCTTGCCCATTCAGCTTAAAGAATTAAAAACTCTAACGAATACAAAAAATTTACCCATTGCTCTCAAAATAGTATCCTCTCGATCTGCCCCCAGACTATTTATCCCCCCACACTCTCCCAACTTGCTTCCATTAATACTCCTACCACAAACTACTACCAGCCCGATGTCCCCTTCGCTATTTAACAGTTCTCTCCAATTGAACTTTTAATTCCTCATTCTCTTTGCTGTCGCTCCCCTCTCCCATTATCATCTCACAACTCTGACCTAAACCCTTCTCATCTGGAAGTTCCCCCTTTCCTTCACCCCCACCCGGGGGCTTGGCCGGGAGGGGCTTCCCTCATTTCGAGAGAGTGGATGAGACAGGGTGATGCGATTTTTCATTCAGACGAAGAGACAGAAGGGGTACCTGGGACAGGAAGACAGCAGCCCCATTCCCAGCCATCCTCCACAAGCGGCAGACCCGTCCCGTCCCGCCCTCTCCCGCGCCAACAGCCGAGCACCTTGCTGAGCGCCTCTTTCTTCTCCTTGTTGCGATCCTGCTTGTCTTCCCCTTTGGCGCTGTCCCCCGAAGCCCCTCCGCCGCTGCCTGTGGCCCCCGGGGGTGTTAACAAGGTAACTCGCTTCTCCTTAGGCCTATACTCTTTCTCTTCCTTCATGGCCACGGCTACGCTCCTCACAGCTACTGTTCGGCCTAAACGCCGCCGCTACGCCGGGCACCAACGACTCCCGGGTAGCTCCCGTCAGAGCTCCGCCCCCAACAGATGCCCCTAGTGATAAGCCAGGTCCTGCGTTCCATTGGGCCCCGCGAAGATCTCGCGAGACTTCAGGGCGCCGGCATCCCTCAACGGAAAAGTTCTAACACCTGGTCTTTACTTCCCGCCTGCAGAATCCCCACGCCGCCCAATACCCTCGCGGCCCAGACTCCCTCGGGGCCGCTCCTTCGCGCGTCATTAGTAACTCCGCCATCTTGGCTAGAAACGACTCTCGCGGGAACTACAAATACCGACGTACAAAGCAGGTACCGCTCTGGTCCGGAGTTTTGGAGCCATCGGTAGTCAGGGTACCTATTTGTGAGTAGTCGAGTCCTTTCATCTGGAACGTTTAGTGGTTTTCGGATCGAAAGATATGTTCTGCGGGCTAGGGATAGGGCTGTACTTCGCATAATTTTCCTCGGATAAAACTCTGTTATGCAAATTTTGCATCACTAGGGGAACGACTTGTACTCGTATTTTCTAGCGTTGAATCTAAAATGTACTTTCAGAGGCTTAAGAATTTATTTCCTTACATTGATTAGGATTCAGATACTTACTAAACACCCACAAGATACTGATATTTAAAGGAGTAATATGACCAAAATGTATGAGATTTGTTTTCATTATCTTTATTTTATTTTTTGACGGCTGGACGGTACACGGATGGAACCCCGGACCTTGGTGTTATCAGCACCATACTCTAACCAACTGAGTTATCTGGCCAGCTCATCACCGTTTTTTTTGTTTTTTTTCCTTTGGTGTTTTTCTTTTTTGTTGTTGTTGTTGTTGTTTGCTGTTTTTCCTTTTTTTTTTTTTTTTTTTTTTTTTGTTGTTGTTGTTAGTAAAAGTACTCTCTCCTGGTACTGATGCCCCACAGGGAGGGAAAAAAGAAAACCCAACCTGGTTTAGTTAGAATCACCCTCCTCCCCCCTTAAAAAAAAAAAAAAAAGGCCAGTTGTACATTTATTTAGAATAACCCCAAAGTGGAAACAATCCAAATGTCCACCAACAACTGAATGGATAAACAAAATGTGGTAGATCTATGGAATCAAATACCACCTAGCAATGAAAATGAACTACTGATATATGAGTCAACATGAGTGAATCTCAAAATGATTAGAGTGAAAGAATCCAGACACAAAGAGAGTACATGCTGCATGATTCTATTTATATGAAATTCTAGAAAAGGTAAAACTATAGGGATAGAAAGCAAATCAGTAATTCCCAGAGAATGGGGAGGGGAGAAGGGATTGTTAGCAAAGGGGCTCCAGGGAACTTTTTGGAATGATGAAAATATTCTTTATCATGATTGTAGTGGTAGTCGCATGACTGCATATATTTGTGTAAACTCATTGAATTGTACACTTAAAATTGGCAAATTTTATTTTATGTAAATTATACCTCAATAAAGTTCAGCCCCACAAAATAAAGAATGCAAAATTTAAAAAATATTGCCCCAAATGAGAAAGCATTTGCATTGCATCAAATCTAAGATACCATTGAATCTAAGACCACAATTATATAACAGGAAAGAAAAAAATGCTGCGGAGTGAACTGTGACATGCCATTAATCTTTTTTTTTTTTTTTTTTAATGTTTTGGCAGCTGGCCAGTATGGGGATCTGAACCCTTGACCTTGGTATTATAACATTCCACTCTAACCAACTGTGCTAACTGGCCAGCCTTTTTTCACATTTAAACATGTCTGAAATTAGGACACATATTAAGAGCCGGCTGGTTAGTTTAGTTGGTTAGAGTGCAGTGTTATAAATCCCAAAATCAAGAGTTTGGATCCCCATACCGGCCAGCCGCCAAAAAAAAATGTCTTAGGCACAAGTGAACGTTATTTCTGTATTATGTGCAATTAGGGAGAAAGGGTGGAGAAATGGGAGAGAGGGGCAAATACCAAGTTAGAGAGATAAACAGACACACACCCACAGAGGGCAGGATCCAAATTAAGGATGCGTTAGGAGCCCAAGGCAGAAAGCTGGCTTAGGGCCAAGGTCCCATTTTTGCTGACATGTAGAATATATTACTCAGATTCTGTACTTAAATTTTCTCACCTCTATTGCCCAACCTATGCTTTAATTCCTAATTCAAGACTATTTCCCTGTATTTGGGATCTCTTACTCTTGCCTTCAGAACCCGAGAGCCTTGCTTAATTATCTACCTCTGACCTACTGCTTAGCTCTGCACTTACATCTTGTTATATGTCTCTTTGTAGTGCCCACTAGCTTTAAACCACCAGCTATATGTCAGTCGTCAGAGTTGGGTGGCCCAGGGCTCAGTCCTTAGAACTCTTTTCTATCTACACTCAGTCCTTTGTTAATCTCATACATTCTTTTGGCTTTTCTCTCTGCTGACAACTTCAAAATTTGTATTTCTAGCCCATATCTCTCCTCTGAATTCTAGACTCATGTATCTGCCTACTTGGCATCTCAACTTAGATGTCTGATGTGTTCACAGTCTCTGAATGTGGCCAGAACTGAACACTTGATCTTCCCCTACACCAGTTGTGTTAGTTTCCTATTGCTGCTGTAACATTACTACAAATTTAGTGGTTTTATTTATTTATTTATTTCCTCTTTTTTTATTTTTTATTGAATCATAATTGATTATACATATTTTGGGGGTTCAATGTTGACATATGTTGATCAAAGCAATATTACTAGTATAGATATCATTACAAATATTACTTATTCTTTATGCCCCTTGTCCAATCTCTCCCTACCCCCCACTCCCTCCCCGCTCCCACCACTGATAACCCTAGATTTCATCTCTCCCTCTGAAAGAGTAATGGTTACTCTGTTGATTTGTTGCCTAGATGATCTATCCAATGCTGAAAGGTGTGTTCAGGTCCCCAAATATTATCATAGAGCAGATGCTTCTTCTGTCACTCTGGAATTGGCTTTGTGAAGAGAGACACCCTCTTTTCTTTGGTCTCTGCTGGTGACTCTCCTTGTGTCAGTGTACTCCAGTGGCTGGTGGACCATCTGCGTGGTGGTTGTGATGTCTAGTCACTTTTGTGGGAGTTACTGTGGTAGCTGTGTTGGACCACCCACATGGAGGTGATGTTTTTGGCATGCTCCTTGGCGCTGGTGATGTGCCTGGTTGTGGGGGGGGGGGGGGTCCAGTCCCCGGCTCTATGCCTCAGGACTCTGGGTGAGCCCCGAGGTGCTGGCAGTGTGCCTGGGTGTGTGTGTGGGGGGTCTGGTCCCCAGCTTGATGCCCTGGGCTTCTATGTGGGGCCCCCAAATTTAGTGGGTTTAAATAATACAAATTTATTATCTTACAGTTCTGTAGGTTAAAAGTCCAACATGAGTCTCATTGGGCTAAAACCAAGGTATTGACAGGACTGAGTACCTTCCTGGAGACTCTAGGAGAGAATCTATTTCCTTGTCTTTTTTCATTCTTGAGACTGCCTGTATTACTTGACTGTGGCCCCTTTCTCCATCTTCAAAGCTAGCAACATAGCATCTCTCTCTGACTTTGTTTCTGTCTGTGTTTCTTTCACTCTGGCTGTCTCCCCCTTCAACTTTAAAGACCCCAGTGATTACATTGGGCCCACCTGTATAATCCAGGATAATCTCCCTATTTTAAGGTCAGTTGATTAGCAACCTTTATTCCCTTTTGCCATATTACCTAACAGGTAGGTAGGGGATTAATAGGTTCTGGGGATTAAGATGTGTACAACTTGGGGGGGGGGGCATTATTCTTTCAACCACACACTGTAAACTTTCTATTTTTTGGTTTTTTTGCTGGCCAGTACATAAACCTTCTTTTAAATTAAACTTTTAATTAAAGCGTAACGCATATGCAGACAAGTGCACAAATGGTAAGCATACAGCTTGCTGAATTTCCACAAAGTGAACACACTCATGTAACCAGCGCAGAGATCAAGAAACACAACATTGCCAGCACTCCAGATACCCACTTCGTGCCCCTTCCCAGTCACTTCGCCCACCAAGAAAACCACCATCCTGACTTCTAACACCATTGACTGGTTTTGTCTGTTTTGAATCTTATGTGACTCATATAATATGTATTCTTTTATAGGCTTCTTTCAACATTTATGACTATGAGATTCATTTATGTTGTGTGTAGCTGTGAATTGTTCCTTCTTGTTGCTGTACAGTATTCCATTGTATGAATCTAGTACAATTTATTTATTCAGGGCTGGCGGTTAGTTCATTTGGTTATTTTTTATTTTATTTATTTATTTATTTAAAAGATGACCGGTAAGGGGATCTTAACCCTTGACTTGGTGTTGTCAGCACCACGCTCACCCAGTGAGCAAACCGGCCATCCTTATATGGGATCCGAACCCGTGGCCTTGGTGTTATCAGCACCGCACTCTCCCGAGTGAGCCACAGGCCGGCCCTAGTTCATTTGGTTAGAGTGCAGTGTTGTAACATCAAGGTCAGGAGTTTGGATCCCTGTACAGGCCAGCTGCAAAAAATATATGAATAAATAAATAATTTATCCATTCCACTACTGGAGGCTATTACAAGTAGTGCTGATCTGAACATCTTAGTACATGTTGTTTGGTGATCTTTTGTGTGCATTAATGTTGGATACATACCTAGGAATGGAATTGCTGGCTCCATAGAGTAAGCATATGCTCAACTTTAGTAGATACCACCAAACAGTTTTCCAACGTGGTTGTACCAATTTACACTCTTGCCAGCAGTGTGTGAGTCCTAATTGCCGCATACCCTTCCCAACACTTGGTATTGTTTGGTGGGTGGGTTGTGGTAGCTCATTCTAGTTTTACTTTGCATTTCTCTGATGATTGATGAAGTCGAGCACCTTTTCATGTTTATTTTTCACTGTATGCCTTATATAATAATAATTATTATTATTGTTTTTGTTTATTTTATTTTTGGTGGCTGGCTGGTACTGGGCTCCGAAACCTTGACCTTGACTGTAAGCCTTTTTAGCCTTTTGGTTATTGTACCATGTTATTATATTATTTATCCCAAAGCAAAGAAAAAACAAAACCAAGCAGGGGCAGTGTTATGGCTTCTTTTCATCAAGTAAGGGGGAGAGCAAGTGTGTGTGTGTGTGTGTGTGTGTGTGTGTGTGTGTGAAAGAGAGAGAGAGAGAGAGAGAGAGAGAGAGAGAGAGAACTCTTTCCAAAGTCCCTCACGTCACTGATTCTTACTGTTTCACTGTACACTCCAAGGTTCTTTTTTCACTTCCTAAGATGAGCAATATCATGTTTGGGACCCTGCTCTAGAACAGCAGAAGGAAAATGTCTGTATACACACAGAAGAATCTTACTTCAAAACTTCTTCCCTGGCCTTCATTGAACAGGCTGCTTTTAATAAATTGTATTGCCCCTTTTATATGAACTCTTTTCACAAATAATACTCTCTGTGGGAATCATGTGGGACTGCCTGGTGTTCAGCTCCACCCAGCTTATGGGAACTATAAAATTAACATTCGATTTCAAGATAAAATTGATTTTCATTTAAATGGTTTTGTGTTCACTGTTGTTTTTGATTAATTATTAACCCAGATCAGCTCTGAAATTATGCAAATCCTAAACAGACAACTAGGAAAGGAGTTGGAAAATTTGTATAGAACAAAAAAATTATTTCACACAAGTGCCTACTCATTGTAATGTTGTCTGTGAAAGAAAGTGTATTGGTCTGTTTCTGTTGCTTATTACAGGATACCTGAAACTGGGCAATTTATAAAGAAATGAAATTTATTTCTTACAGTTTGGAGGCTGGGAAGTTGAAGGTCCAGGGAACACATCTAGTGAGGTCCTTCTTTTGGCAGTGGCAGAGAGTCACATGCTGAGAATGGCTTGAGCAAGAGTGCTAACCTTCTCACTTGCTCTCCTTATAAAACCTTCAGAACCATGCCCATGATAACTTATTACTTCATGAATGGATCAATCTATTCAGGAGGCCCTAGTCCTCACGATCCAATTACCTCTCAAAGATCTTACCTTTCAAATATCATAATTGGACTTCCCATCCTCTTAACACTGTTACAATGGAGATTGTTTCCAATACATGAACTTTTAAGGGATACATTTAACCCACAGCAGAAAGGGTAATATTTTATTTTATGAATTAGCCAAGTTCAAGTTTTGTTTGAGAACTTTGGACTCCAGGGTAAAAAGGAGGTTCACATAGTATAATCATTTGAAGTACTTTCCCACTGGTTAAGAATTATAACAAAAAATGTTATCCAGCTATCTCTCACGGTCTCCGATGACATAAAACAAACGGTAGTGGAAGATATGACATAAGGAATTCAGTTACATGGGAAACAATGGTGAATTTCTCAATTTAAAATAAGTTTTAACCCCAAGGTCATGGGTTTGGATCCCTGAACAGGCCGGCCACCAAAAAAAGAAGAAGAAAAAGAAGTTTTTAGAGGCCTAGTGGGTTAGCTCAGTTGGTTAGAGCATGATGTCATGATGTTGGTAACACCAAGGTCAAGAGCTCAGATCCCTGAACTCGCTAGCTACCAAAAAAAATATACGTCTACAGAATAGAAAGCTTTATCTTGATGTTAAGATGCATAGTTTTAAATTAGTCTTCTTGCTACAATTTGAAAATGTTATTTGGATTTTTTTCTAAATCTTAAATTCAAAAGGTTGTTAATTCCCCCAATCCTTTCCTACTCCACTGAGATTCACACATAGAGGGAATTATCTATTGACTTTTTACTGAAGATGAGCATTTAGTTCTCTTATAACTACCAGCATACACATGTGTGGGCACATAGGTTGAGTCAGAAAGCGTTTGAGAAGAGAAATGTAGAATAAAGTTATTTGTCTCGTCTAGTTTCGATTAAAAGAGAAAAATGGACAAGGAGTATTGAACAGAGAGGAAACACTTTTTCGGATCTAAAATATTCTGTTCATTTATATGCTTTGCTAGAGATTTCTTTTCGCCATACTACTAAAAAAAAAAAGCTGGAGATAGAGAATATTTAAGACCCAGTTAGCTAAATAAGAAACCTTGTTGTTAACCATCTTGTTTTTTTTTTTTTTTTTTGGCAGCTGGTGGTGTGGGTCTCTGAACCCTTGACCTTGGTGTTATGACACTGCGCTCTAATCAGCTGAGCTATTCAGCCAGCCTGACTAACCATCTTGAAGGCATGTTTTCAAGTAAGATTAAATTTGACTTTGCTTTGTTCTATGTCATCTACAGGGGTCCTCTCTATTGTGCTTCCCAAACACTAAGTATAAGGAGATAAGGACTCTTGTCATAATGTTTTCGTAAAGAACCTGTCTTTACCCATCCAGTGTTAAAGCTTCTATCAACTCCAATAGCTTATAAAACATGTTTTGGAGAATTTCATGATGTCATAAGCATATTTATTGTAGAAAATAGTGCTAGCAAACAAATTGTATCTGTTATTAATTACTTAAGTCACAGCATACTGGAAAACCACAAGTAAATGAAAAGTAGTGCTTCTAACAGGATTTATTCACAATGTAAACCATTTTCTCCTATATACTTTTGCTTATCCCCCATCTTTATTATTTAGTTATATTTGTTCATTAAGTCATAATTCAGTGTTAATATCATGACTATGTAGGGCCAAGCCCCTGGTGCGCTCGGGAGAGTGCGGTGCTCCCGCCGCGGGTTCGGATCCTATATAGGGATGACCAGTGTGCTCACAGCGCTCACTGGCTGAGCGCGGTGTGTCCGGTCTCAAAAAAAGACAAAAAAAAAAAATCATGACTATGTAAATATCGTTCATAGATAAGACATATAATATACTTTTATTATACTTCCTTTCTTTTTTCTTTTAATGTTTTTTTTTTTTTTTTTAAAAGATGACCGGTAAGGGGATCTTAACCCTTGGCTTGGATTTGTCAGCACCACACTCAGCCAGTGAGCGAACCGGCCATCCCTATATGGGATCCGAACCCGTGGCCTTGGTGTTATCAGCACCACACTCTCCCGAGTGAGCCACGGGCTAACCCTCTTTTAATGTTTTTTTAAAGGTTAGTCAAGTAAAGCAGTGGGAGTGGAGAAAGAACAAAGAAATCTGTAACTGTTTGTGATATGCTTCCTTTCTTATACAACATTTTGTTTCTCCTGGAGTTTAATTGCTTTGGTTGTTTTATTTGTTTGATTGATTTGTTTCCTTGTACCTATTACTATTATTTTCATCAAGTTCCTCCAGAGATGTAAAACCCTACTTTATAAGGTCATACATATCAGGTAATCTATTAATTTTTTGTTCAACCTATTTGGAGACATCTTTCCTCCTACTCCGGTATGTGTTGGTTGACCGTAAGCCTGTTATACAGATGTCCTGGGATTTCACTTTGCCTTTCTTGGATTCTCCTGTTTACTAGACATCATTCTACTGTTTTTGACCATTTGGGTTGTTTCCAATTTGGGGCTATTATATAATGTTGCTATGTACATTCTAGTATGTGTTTCTTTATGCATGTATTTCTGTTGGGTATATACTTAAAGGTGGAATTGCTGGCTTAGGTGGAATTGTGCATGTGTTCAACTTGTGAACTTGGATGGAAAAAGATTTACATCTCCATTTTTACTAACCATTAACCAAAATTTAGCATTTCCCTCGGTTATGAATGTAGGCAACAAACCATAGCAGTATTAGCAGTACTTGTGATTTTGACTGATAGAAATCATAGATCTTTTCCTAGCACATTACAGTTGTTGCAGATAATGTAAAATACTGGTGACACTGATATTCCTGAACTTTTCTGGGTTTCTGCAGCACAAATTGGCTTGTTTCCTGTTGGTTTCCCCCAGTGCATGTGCTCAAGTTTCATAATTCCTCCAATTCAGTTAAGCAAGTTTTATGTCCTTGCGGGTACATATTTTTTATACTTTCTTTATTATTATTTTAGTGTAATTTCAAAGTGTTGTGGAGATGAAAATGTGTTCATTCCGCCAAAGTGTTCTATATGGCTTTAAATTTATACTGGATCTGTAGTTAAATCTTTCTTTTCCAATATTTTTATGTATACCTTTGATCTTTTTTAAATAGATCAATCTTGATAGAAGTATGTCTATTATGTTCGTCTTTTCAAAGAACCAGCTTTTGGTTTTGTTGATCATCTTCCTTGTTTTTGTATGTTTATTTCATTTTATTAATTTTTGCTCTTCTCTCTATTATTTTCATCCCTCTATCTTCTTAGATTTACTCTGCTCTTTCTCTAGCTTCACAAATTGAATACTTTATGTAATAATTTGGAATATTTTTAAAAGTGAATTTAATACTATCAAGTTTCTTTATGATTGCATTTTAGATGCATCTCACATGTTTTTATATGTATTTTATTGCCATTCAATTTTATCATTTTCATGGTTTCCATTATGATTTTCTCATTAACTTATTGGCTAGTGTGTTTTTAGTTTTTAGATATACGTCTTTTTTTAACTGTCTTTTAATATTGATTTAAAATTTCTTTTCTTTTTTTTTTTTTTTTTAAAGATGACCGGTAAGGGGATCTTTAACCCTTGACTTGGTGTTGTCAGCACCACGCTCAGCCAGTGAGCAAACCGGCCATCCCTATATGGGATCCGAACCCGTGGCCTTAGTGTTATCAGCACCGCACTCTCCTGAGTGAGCCATGGGCCGGCCCTGGATGTTTAATTTTTGATAAATTTAGAGTTAATAAGTAGCCACATCATTCTTCCAAATAACACATGGAGTTTTCAGTACCTTCACACCAACCTTTCCCATCACATCACTTTTGCATGTCATGGCTATAAGGTATATGGGTTTCATTTTTTTTAACCTCCTCTTTTTATATTAACAATTAGTACCTATGTAAGATTTTGCAAACTCTTTGCCCACCATTTCTTTTTGCTTTCTTTTCCTTTCTGGGTTCAATTTCCTTCTTGCCAAAATCTTTATTTTAATAGTTACGTCATTAAAGATCTGTGAATAGTAAACAACCACAATCTTTATATGTCTAAAAATGCTTTTATTTTTCTCTCACTCTTAAATGAAAATTTAGCTGGATACATTTAAACAAGTACCTTGCTTCCTTCAAATCTTTGCTCCAGTGTCAGCTTCTTAATGAGATGACTCTGACAACCCTTCAAAACTTACCCTATTTCCTGCCCCCCAGCAGTCTCAATTCCCTTACCTGCTTTTACCTATTATATAATTATAACATGTTTATAATGTTTATTGTTTACTTCCCCTCTTTCCCCACCAGAATGTCAATTCCATGACAGTATATATTTCTATTTCATTCACTGATGTATCCCAAGCATTTAGAAAAATGCCCAACACATAGTAGGTACTGAGTTTCTTTTTAATAGACTTTATTTTTTAGAGCAGTTTTAGGTTTACAAACAAATTGAGCAGAAGGTCCAGAGATTTCCCATCTTTCCCCTGCCTCCACATATGCATAGCCTCCCTCATTATCAACATCCCTGACCAGAGTGGTATGTTTATTACAATGGATGAACCTACATTTACACCTCATTATCACCCAAAGTCCATAGTTTACATCAGGGTTCACTCTTGGTGTTGTACATTCTATGGGTTTGAAAAAATGTATAACAACATGTATCTGCTATTGTAGTATCATACTGAGTAGTTTTACTACCCTAAAAATCCTCTGTGTTCTGCCTATTCATCCTTTCCTCTCCCCTAAGCCCTGGAAACCACTGATCTTTTTACTGTTTCCATAGTTTTGCCTTTTCCAGATGTCATATAGGTGGAATCATACAGTATGTAGCCTTTTCAGATTGGCTTCTTTCATTTAGTATTAGGTATTTAAGTTCCCTCCATGTCTTTTCATGGCTTGATAGTTTATTTCTTTTTAGTGCTGAATAATATTCCATTGTCTGGATGTATGGATGTACCACTCACCTCTTGAAAGACATCTTGGTTGTTTCTAAGTTTTGGCAATTATGAATAAGGCTGCTATCAACATCCATATGCAGGTTCTTGTGTGGACTTAAGTTTTCAACTTCTTTGGGTAGATACCAAGGAGCGTGATTGCTGGATCATATGGTAAGACTATGTTTAGTTTTGTAAGAAACTGCCAAACTGCCTTTCCAACCAAAGTGGCTGTACCATTTTACCTTCCCGCCAGCAATAAATGAGAATTCCTGTTGCTCCACATCCTTGCCAGCATTTGGCAATCAATGAGCGCAGGGTTATTTTTTTCTATTCAAATCTTTTAATTCTTTCAACAATGTTTTGTAGTTTTTAGAGTATAAGTGTTGTACTTCTTTTGTTAAATTTATTCCTAATATTATTATTGATGCTATTGTAAATAGAATCATCTTCTTAATTTTTAATTTCATTTTCAGATTGTTCATTGAAAGTGTAGAAATATAGGGGCCGGCTCGTGGCTCACTTGGGCGAGTGTTGATAACACTCTGGTGCTGATAACACTCTAGTCACTGGTGCTGATAACACTAAGGCCAAGGGTTCAGATCCCTATATAGGGATGGCCAGTTAACTCACTTGGGAGAGCGTGGTGCTGACAACACCAAGTCAAGGGTTAAGATCCCCTTACTGGTCATCTTTATTTAAAAAAAAAAAATGAAAGAAAGTGTAGAAATACAATTGATTTTTTAAATATCGATCCTCTATCCTGGAACTATGCCAAACTCATTTATTGGTCCTCATAGGGGTTTTTTTAGTGTATTCCTTAGGGTTTTCTATATAAATGATCATGTCATCTGCTGAGAGAGATTTTTACTTCTCCCTTTCCAATATGAATACCTTTTATTTCATTGTTGTATTAGTCTGTTTTGTGTTGCTATAACAGAATACCTGAGACTGGGTAATTTATAAAGAACAGAGGTTTATTTGGCTTATGATTCTGGGACAGTTGTGTCTGGTGTGGGCCTCAGGCTGCTTCTACTCGTGGCAGAAAGCAGCAGGCAGCCAGCGGATACAAGCAGATCACACAATGAGAGGAAGCAAGAGAGAGGGGGGAGGTACCAGGATCTTTTAAACAATCAGCTCTCGCAGGAACTAATGGAGCAAGATCTCACTCAGGCCCTCCTCCCCCAGGGAAAGCATTAATCCATTCATGAAGGATCTGCCCCATGGCTCAAACAGCTCCCAATACTGCCACATTGGGGATCAGATTTCCACATGAGTTTTGGCAGGGACAACACATATCTTGCTCAATCACCATGGA